ACACACAGACACGCGTATGCACACATACCTGCCATCTTGCTGTGCGGTAGGACTGGAGAAGCCTATATCAATAATTCCACATTGAAACGAAGCCTCTTAGTAAACTAGGCTGCAGAATGTGAATGTAAAGTAGCATCAAGTTAAATATAAAAATACTCACACACAGTATATGAAATAATATTTTTTCAAGGGCTTTTCAATAATATTGTTAGCATTCAATTTCTACAGCAGACATCATTTGTGTATATAAAACAATGCAGTGTGTATATTCACATTCAGTCTGCTTTATTTGTCAGATATTAAACAAAAGCAGCTTGGTGTAGATCATATATAATAAATGTGTGGATGTAAAAATGGTGCTGTCTTGTTAAGTACAGCGGGCTGTGTTGTGTGGCTGTGTGTGTGTCTCTGTGGAGAGAGTGAGGCTCTGAAGCTAAGCTGTGCTGTGCTGTGCTGTACCTGGTAATTAAAGGGAGTTTGTGGCAAAAGCCAAACATCGGGAGAGATGAGCTATGAACAAAAGAGCTGTGACAGTTTCAGGTTATGTGATTTTTATGTCCCTTTTTTGCCAAATGAAAAATCAATAACATTTTTTCCGGGTTATACATATTCAGCGTGCCCGCCATGCTTCCTCCCTGATGGGGAGTGGGGAGAGGGAGGGGGAGGATGAGGGGGGGGCTACTCGCCTGTCACAACTGTACCATCGCATTTTCCGACCCACTGGTGAATATTTCAGAGTTGATGTGATTGCCCTTCATGACAGCGGTGATGCTTTTTTCCTACCCCCTCCCTCTGGATCCTGCTTAGCTAGCCCCCCTTCAATAGTCTAGAAATAGGTGAAGCTATTATGGTGTGAGATGATGGAAAAGAGGGATGCATTAAGAAAATGGTTGATTTTAAAAGAAAGACAGGAAGGGGTGGAAGATAAACATAAATGCATGGTTGGGTGTGTGTGTGGGTGGGGGGGGGGGGGTTGAAGAGTGATGGGGTAGTAGAGTGAGAGTGGCTGTGTCTATGCTCTCTTTGTGCAGGACAGATCTCCCCCAGGCATGGGAGATGAGAGACGTGTGAGCAGTAGTGTGTCCGGTGATGTCTTTGCCTCCTGCCCAGGCTTTTAGCCCATCGCCTACCAGGGAAAAGCACAGTCTGCATCCTCCTTTGTCCATAATGTGTGTATATGCAAGGCTACCATCATACAGGACACAGCGTAATGGCCAGTCAGAGCTGTTTGCGTGTGTGTATTCTGTCTGTATACGTGTGTGTGTAGAGGTTAGCTGGAGAGAGTGATCCCTGAATGCTCAGTCCCTGTGCAGGCACATTAACCTACATCCCCCGCTCCTCTCCTCCATCACTCCACTAAAACACAAAAGAAAAAAGAAATAGAACACCACTATTCACAGATGTATTTATAATGTGTCTAAATATCAATAACACAAGCAATAATTCTACTAATTAGTATTAATTCCTATGAGATAATTACTTTAGGGAAAATACTTCATGCTATTTTTAAAATTAGCATATGCTGTGTGTAGTATACTGTCCAATTAGATAGTCATATGTGGTTTTATGTGAGCTCTATTTTGAGGGGAGAGGAGCTGTTTATCACGATTTATGTCCTGTTTACAGCTCCCTACTTATGGGAGATGTAGAGCATCCATTGCATTAGACATGTCATGTTTGCGATGCAGTGTCACATCAGGTATTGAAACAAAGTGATGTCTATTTAGAATAACAGGATATTCCGGCGGCATGTGTAAATTAGATTTCCCCCTATTAGACGCTGCTGCAGATAAAATAATTCAGTCTGCGTGACCCTCGGTGACCTGAATAAAGGCTGAATGTCCACTGAAATGGCCAGTGACTTTGAAAGGGGGATCAAATTAAGTGTTGCTTGGAAGGGGGGTTGGCCGGGCATGGCGGGGGGGTTAGGAGGGGAGTGCTGGAAGAGAGAGAGAGAGAGAGAGAGAGAGAGAGAGAGAGAGAGGGGAGGGGGCCCACTGGTATTGTTCTAAGGCAGTGTGAGCTATCCCTGCTGTTTGTGATTAACTTGCTGTTTAAAGTTTTTTTGCTATTAGCTGCCCTAACCCCAGACTCCCACACCTCCTCCTCCTCCCTCCCTCCTCTGCCTGCTCCTCCTGCACCTCTCCCTCCTGCCCCCAGCCCCCAGCCCCATGGAGACACAAAGTATTCATTCACATTTAGATGGTGAGGTCACGGCAGGGCCAGTGGGGAGAGAGTGCCATGTCCTCCCTTAGACAGGTCAGGAATCTAGCACGTAACTCAGTCCCACACCGGCAGAGAGACACCGCGGTCCTTTAAACCAAAGAGGTACTATTTTTTCCTTCCTAAATGTGAGAAGTGTATATGTGTGTGTGTGTGTGTGTGAGAGAGAGAGAGGTTTGAGAGACTGAAAGAGCAATATAGATACAAGACACTCCTCTTTGAATGTGTGTGGTTTGTCAGTCAGTTGGTCAGCATGTGCACTGTGTTGGTGTGATGCTAAGTCTCAGAGCGCATGAATCAGACACTGTGTTTATGGTAGCAGGGGCTTCACCCAATCCTCACCACATGTTTGACTTGCTTTATTTCCGCTTGTATCTTACTCTTGTATTTACAATCACTTTGGAAGTTTGCTGTCGACATCCACTAAGTATTAAATATGATTAAATATTAATCAAACACATTTTAATTTTAATTGTGATATTGTTTAAATAACTAATTCTGCATTTATCACTTATATTTTGTATATCACTTTTATATATTTTTTGGTTTATATCTTATATTAGATTTCGATATCAGCAGTTTGTTGCAGTGTTTGAATGGCGGTGTAGTTGCCTTGTGGTACTGTGGTTGTATCATATATTGTGGCTGACTGTTATTGCTAAGTGATGGCCCATACCTCTCTAACCCCTCACCTCTCTGGTTAGGGAGTGGGCCATGTTTTACTCAGTCGTGGTTTTCTGACAGCTAGCTCATCAGGGAAGGCGTGAGGAGGGGTCTGGGCCGGGGCGAGGATACTTTTTGGGAGGGGTGGGAGTGTTTTTCTGTGTGTTGTGGTTTAAGGGGGCGTGTAGGGGGGCTTGCGTATGGGGCAGAGAGGTGCTGATATGAGGAGCGGACAATGCATGAAAGCCCCCAGCATGGGGCCTGTGTCCCATTGTCCCATGGTACCCTCCTGTCACTTTCATTTGACACCCCCCAGTCCGGAGTCAGGCCAGCTTTGATATGGGGATGGGGTGCAAGGGATGATGGGGGGAGCATGGGGGGTTTTAAAAGAAAGAAGTAGGGGAGAATGATAGTCTGTGAGGTGTGAAATAAGATTGCTTTTTATCCGACAGCGCGGCGTTAAAGAAAGGAAGCTGTCCGGAGCTGGATAAAGCGGGGGAAGTGCACCCCTGATTTCCAGTTGAAGCACTGTGACACCTGGTTAAAATGATAACAACAGCCTCAATAATCATAATGAGAGTAATGAGAGCTCCGACACACAGCCAGCTCCACACTACAGAGGAGCACCAGTGACTAGCACAGCTCAACCCCCGCTCCTAAAACTCTAGGACTGGGGAGAGGAGAGGGAGAGGTACAGCTCAACCCCCGCTCCTGGTACTCTAGGACTGGGGAGAGGAGAGAGGGACAGACAGGGGCAGGCAGAGGAGTCTGCTGCTGAGCATGAAAGGGAGACAGACAGACATGCAAAAAATGAGCAGGGATTCACTTGTGTGTGAGGAGCACTGGAGCCATTTGCAGCAGGTAGGATTGGAATATTGTGTGGGTTGTTAATATAATGGCTGTTAGCTTAGCATGTGTTGAGCTGCAACAGAGGATGGAGGAGGAGTTTGACTGGCTGATTTCTATGTACACTGTCTATATATATCATTATTTCAGTCTCAGAAGGAGTGCTGAAAAGTGCAGTTGTTACCATCTATTATTTATTAGTCAGTTTGTGCCTGTCAGTGTGATTAGTATTAGTGTAATCACTGTTCTTCTGGGGGAAGGAAGGCTGTTCGGCCTCATCTGAAGGTTATCACACTGTCTTCACAGTCTCATCTTCACCGGACGCTTCCTGCATAACATCTGCTTTTTTAATCTCCACATATTTCTTCTCCTTCCCTGTGTCTGTCTGTTGCCGCTCTCTCTCTCTCACCTCCCCCTCCTCATCCACCCACCCCCCATTAATGTGTGTGAGTACCTCGCTCTCTCCTGGCTTGTATAGGGTGACACCTATGGGTCTGCCTAAGCCCCTGCACTTACAGGCAGAGAGAGCGAGAAGGAGAGCGGCAGCCGCTTGTGTGGTGTGTTTGTGTGTGTATGTGTATGTTTGTGTGTGTGTGTGTGTGCGTGCACAAATGTGTGTGTGAGCGTGTGTATGTGCCGGGGGGAAATAGATGCTTCAGGTTTTATTTTCTTCTCCATGTCCCACCATTTCACCTGGCTGCTGTGTCTGTGATGCCTTCTGCAGACAGAGAGCTGGTAGGATGGAGAGAATGTGGACTGTCTCCCGGTGACATGCAGTGGAGGGCTGATATTGCTATGGGTGTAATCTGTATGTCTGCAGCGGGGGCTTATTCAGCTTGCCTGATTAGATTAACGGAACAGTTTAATATCATTGTATGAGGAGGGTTAATGAAGACAATTAATTAGACGACAACCTCCAGGCTATTGTCCTTTACATTTGGACAATTTGGGTTAGAAATGGCCTATTGCCATAGCTCTGAGTGTTTCTCCCCATCTATTTCCAGTCCTAATCTATGAGTCCATTTTAGTGGCTCTTCCATTTGCATCCTACTCTTAGGCCACTTGTGACCTTTCATTAATTATGGCTGGACCCGGCTTTAATCATTGTGTAATACCGTTGGAGATGAGATGAGGAATAGGCACAGTCATTTGCCACTTAAAGATGTAGTGCCGCTCGTGGAATTAAATGTCTGCATTTCTACATTCATTATGGGGGGTTACTGTGCGGTGTGTGGTGGAAGTGTCATACATCTTGATTAAAAACCAAAATGAAGAAGTGTTGTGAGCGAGAGGGGGCAGGCAGGCAGGCAGCAGAGGCTGGGGGGAGCTCTCTCTGCTACGCCCCACAAGAGATCCGTCTGGAGAATGCTGAGGTGACAGCTGTTGTATTCAGTGACGTTGAATAGAGTTAAAATCTGGACTGTGGATCACTGCAATGTTCCTGAAAAAGCATGTTGAAGTGTGGAGGTGTGGAATTAGACACTGTAAGAGTAGGACAGCTCAGAATGACATGCAGCCCCTTTTTAAAGGTGTACAAATTTACCTGGGGATTATTTTGTAATCTGAGCTCTTGTGCGGCTGTGTGGTATTCTAATTCTCTGGGAGTTGTGTGGATTTGTGCAGGCTGAAGTTAGATGGGATTTTGGGGCTAGGCTGAGGCTCTCTTCTGGTTTACCGGGTGATGTTTTAGAACCGCCTCGCCAGCACAGGATGGGCTACGCTGGACGGAACTTGCAGGTTGCCTTGGAAACATAATAGAAACATGGTCAATAATAAAATAATGAAAAATTGTATTTATGCAAGTGGGGTCTGGGGAACACTTAAATGTGCTTTTTACTGGGAGCCAGTTATCCCTGTTAAATACCTTCATTTATACATAGGATCACCGTCTGCTGCTAGTAATAATGTCTAACAACATAATCCATACACCAATCATTTTGTTGTGAGGAGAGGGGCTTCTTACTTTGGGAAACAGTCAGGAACGCCAGGATATTGCTCTTGCCTCATGACACAGAGGTGTTTTCTACTGAGTTAAAGCTTTGTCACTGACAATCTCCTCAATGCTGTAGTTATTATCTTAACTGGAATAATGATAGTTATTGCAATTATGATGCGTGCTTATATGGTATCATCAGTTTACAGTAAGAAGCACTGCTCAGGCCTCTAAATCCAACCTTTTGTTAAGTCAGTGAGAAAATCACATTGACAAACTCATAGGTTATTTTGTAAAATGGAATATTATATTCTAGTATTGAGTTATATGTTATTGCTGTCTTTAGTGAGTGTGTTTCTCTTGGTGCATCAGTGATTAGGATAGCAGAACTCCAATAGCACATTATCATCGCAATTTCAGCCTGATCTAAATGTGTAATCACTTTACACACGCTATAATGTGTCTCTCGTCGTATAGCTTTCATTTCTCTTTGATTACATGTGAATATGGAAGCACAGGAAATATCTATTTACCATGAGAACTGAAGGAGATTGAAATGTTTGAAGTACTTCACGGATTGCCAGTCAAAATAAAGCATTTAACCATACCGTGCTGGTAGTGAAATGTAAATCTTTGATTTGATTCAAAATGTTCTATCCAGAAACCATTTTTAGAGGGTATTTGTGCTAGTAAAGTTTGATGGGGCTTTGGGTCTGTGTTTCGGTCCAGGTTACATAGTTGGTAACTACAGTATAGGAGTGTAAGTGCTATAGTAGATCATATGAGGCCATAAAAGTCATGTACGTAGTGGCTTGTCAAGTGGTGAGCTCAGATCAGATGTGTGTTGACTGCAGGGCTGAATATGTGAACAGGATATTTCAGTGGATGTTGTTGTAGCATTGTCAATATATCAATAGACTGTCGAGTAGAGACCTGAGAGTGGAAGCATTTTCAAAAGAACATTTAAGTACATTTGCTGAGAATTAGCTGACTTGTGTAGTAACTGATAGGCCTTATTGACTGTGGCCCAGTTTACTGTTGTCAAATCAATGCTGTTGCGTGCTAGTCGCACTACTTTTAAACAAACTTAACAGGCCAAGGGGCTGCTCAGCGGGCACTGGAGAGAAATAAAGAAGATTGATGCCCTTTTTATTATCAGTTTTTTGCCATATTTCCCTCGCTGCGTTACTTACAGATGGCATTATCGGATATCCATTGTTTGGAGTTCAATGCTTTTAAATGGGCTGATATATTGAGCTGAGGCTTTTAAGGTCATTACAGGGGATTTCTGTATTTGACTTGGCAGAAAAATCTAATGAATTGCCGGTCTGAAAGTTTTAAATATTTATGATTTTTTATTTTGCAATAGCGAGGAAGTAGAGGTGAAATGAGCCCTGTATTGGTAAGTAGCCTAGCAGACTGCAGCTGGGGACAGTAATGTATGTGGAGAGAGAGAAAGCGGGAGAGAGAGAGAAGGAGAGAAAGAGAGAGAGGTCTCTCTCTAGAAACACGCTCCTCACACAATTATTTTTCCTGTCTGCATACTGCAAACCGCATTTGAAAATGTGTGTATGTCTCTACCACATGTGTGCGGTTTTCTGCAGTTTTATGTCCATATTAAAGAGAGGAAGCCATAAAGATATTTGTGTCATGGTCTTGAATAAATTTAGAATTATAACTTTGGGGCTTGTATAAAAAATTATGATGGTTATCATTATTATTATTATTATTATTATTATTATTATATTTTCAAATGAACTGTAATTATTTTCTAAATGTGTTCATATTAGTGTGGATACAGCAGAGAAAATAGATGAGAGAAAATATAATACATTTCCTCTATCTCTGTTTTGATGAACAAAAATGATTTCTCTAATTTTATTGTTTTAATGAAAATAAATTGCAAAATGCACTCATGGTGATCAAGCAGCACAGGGCAGAAAGCAAATCCCACCCTCTTTGTCTGGTAACCTTTTAACTGCGTGTCAGCGAATGTAATTGTTGTAAGCTCCTATAGAAAAAAAACGCTGCTATCCCTTTAAGTGCTTCCACCAATTCTGATGGCGTGTTGATTTACATATCCCATCCTCTCCTCCCCCTTCAGGAGAGCTGAGCGAGGATGTGGAGGCTGCCAGTGAGACCACCACAGAACAGGAGGACCAAACCAAAGACAGAGAGAGTGGGGGGGAGAAGGAGCTCACCAAAGGGACAGGTAAGGCCTATATTTACACTACACACATTTAGGCAACACTGCCCTCAGGGATCATGTGCTATTGCACCTGATTTGTTCTCAACAGAAGGTATTTTGTCTCAAATAATTATACAGATTCTACACAAATATCAGAGCCCCTTTAATAATGCTCTGTTACAAATCCACAAATCAGTTTGTAGTGTTTTTTTTTAAGGAGGCCTTTCTGTTTCTTACTGTAGGAGGGAGACAGGTTTCTTATCATCAAATCCTATCTGATGAATTAGGCCAAATTGTCAATTGAGCTAATCTGGTCAGGTGACATGTGACTCATGTTTTGTCAGTTGTCAGTGGATTTTATGGAGAGGGGCCTGGGCGCATAATTCAAGCTCAGCCACGTGTGTGTGCTCATGTGACAGGCCTGCCTTCCGCCTGCACTGCACTGATTGTGTGTGACTGAAACACACACCTGTGTTAAATGTTATCAGATAGGGATATTTCTCTCCATGGGCTTTCTAGTGACAGGTGCAGGTGTTGGGTTCCATGGAGAGGTGGGGCTTGAGCTGAGGGGAGACATTAGTGTTCGGGCCTATTCTAACCATGATTGTTTGTTGTTGTAGGTTTTAGGTTGAATCCTATCTACTTTTAATGTGATTAGTTTACATCAGCGTGCATTCAAAATGGTTTAGCTGATTTCTGCTGCTAGTCGAGGTCAGCAGGTCCAGGCTGAGCGTGTGTGGGTGTATGAGTGTGAGGAGGAGGTTCACAGACAGGAAGTGTTTGTGACTGCTCCCCACTGCTCGGCCCCCCTGGCCATATGTTCACGTCAGAGCATAGCTAGGGTTTGTATCATGCACTGTTGGGGGTCTGGCCTGGATGTCCAATCACAGCACTCCTAGACCAGGACTATTGTAAACTTCCTTGGTAGATTGGTAGGATTATCATGACTATTATTATAGTCTTAGTCATAGTAATAGTTAGAAGTTATAGTAATAATAGTTAGGTAACAATCTAGTAATAGCTACAGTAATAGTCATTAGTAATAGCAGTATACTACATAGGACTCTATTTTCGGCCGGCGTTAAGGTGGCGCTAGTGTCAAACGCTCGTTAGTTTGCAATTTTGTCATGTAGAAGACGCTGGCATTTTCCAGCCCTAACGTCAGGTTCGGCAATTTACCTGTCTTACTGTATATCAGCTCGCTTGCGCTCAGATGGGCAGGGTCAAAATATTTGAGGTGTGTCCTTAAAAACATGATTCAAAGTGGTAATTTCAGCCAGCGCTGATAGGGATATTTAAGACCAATCAAAAGCTGGTTTTAGCGGTAATGCAGTTGCTTATGGCATGAAATTTCACAGCGGAAACACAGCCTATCCAGCCGTGACGCACACTGCCCATGTGCGCATGGAACAAGAGTAGCCTAATGTGCTTTTGGTGCCTTTAGAAACATAACAAAGTTTAGTTTTTTCCTATTTGGTTTTATTTGGTTAAAAACCAAGCATAGCCTCCCCTCCTCTCAATTAGGCTTTTTTTTGTCCTGCCCAATGCATGTGAAGTGTGACAGTTGTCCTATTTGAACTAGACTGTTGTTGTTTAGCAAATTTATTAAATATCGTTTGTAGAGCTAAATAATGAACTAAATTTACATTTTATCATGTTTGGGTGGCCAGGCCCAGCATTATTTTGCAATTACAGTAGGCTTTAACCCTCATATCCATGTTGTGAATTCTATAACCACGGAATATTGGGCCTAAGTGTGGACTGCCAAAAAGTTGGTTTAAGTTAAGATTTGAAGAATAGGTTCTCTTTTGTTAGTTTTCAATAAGATTTAATAGCTATAATGACAACATTGGATTGGTTATGCTCAGCAAACATTAAAAGAGCCTATATCATTGAAGCATTAACCATGATTCTAAACAATGGAGCAAATGGGTCAAGTTAACGTATTTGACAAGAAGGTCCTAATTTGATATTTGAAGCCAAATAACTATAATGACACTTGGAATTAGATTGACCATGGCTACATAACAGACCGTAATACTTGGGCGGAGTGTGGAGCGTGTTGACACACCTTTTTGAGCATATATTGTGTAAATATTCATTCAAACACTGTTGGCATGTGGCTTACTACTCCACATGTATGAAACATGCTTTTCCATTTAGCACACAGTATACAGGAGTACTGTGGAACAGTATAATACAGCATGGTTCTCTGAACAGTGGGGTCTAGTCTTATGTTCAGGGTTGAATCCTAGTTGTCAGCACTGGGTTAATGGAAGGTCCCTTTTCTACTTTACTTTTAGTTTTTACTGTTATGAAGTAGAAAAGGGAATACGTATTATCAGTAATTAGTTTTGATCTAGCAATTTGTTTGATGTTGTCAGGCAAGGATGAAAGCGAGTAGGGGGATTTCTTGTAATCTCCTCCCATCCAATAGATAGAGTTGTGGTAATGACAGCCAACATCACCGACTAGCAGGCAGAGAGAGAGGTGGCATTTGAACTAGACCAGCTCCATCCCTGTAACTGGGGGATGGTTAGAGTTCTGATGTCTTGATTTACACTAGTGAGGTTAAAAGCTGGAAAACAATCCAGACCTTTTGCATACCTCATTTTTAAAAAGAAAGTTCTGCAAAAAAGTTCATCACACCGTTTGAAGCCCCATCTTTGCAAAAATGTCTTTGATATTCAAAATTGTATTTTAAATGAGCCTGAGTTGTTTGTGCTATTTGAAAGGGCGACACTCCTCTTTGATGGGAGAAATAATGATATGCATGCCTACCTGAAAAATGGCTAAAAGTATATTTTAACACATCAAAATAAAAGCACTTTAAAAAGCATTAAAATGAGCCAAGCGATTAATAATTCACTCATACCTGTGGTGCTCAGGAAGAGTCCTCGCATTAGGATTCCTGCTTTTTGAAAGGCACGCAATTTGATACAACCATATTCAATTCCTTTCCTCCCCTCTGTCAGTCGCTAATCACCAAATAAGTGTGTTTCTGTGTTTTCACAAAGGAAAGATGTGCTTGCATATGAAAAATGTACAGTTTCCCAGCAGCATATTAGAACCGCTTAGTTAAAAATAGCATGTGCATTAGGAAACCAGGTCTGGGTTTCTGTTTGATGTCAGTGAAAAGGTGTGTGGATAAGGTGGAGGGATGGAGGGATGGGGGGGGGCGGCTGTGTTGTCAGCTGAGAAAGGAGACGGGAGCGCTGGGTTTTTAATGGAAGGGCGCTTTTTCTACTCTATGTTTGTATGATTGATGGACACTGCGCCTATACAGAGACCCTCCATAACCCTGTACGAACAACAGCACAGAGGAACACAGAATGCATTTCGTAAACAGAGGCATGCTTGTTGTGGCTGATGATTGTCTCAGGATGTCTGAAAAGGCCGACAACACACTGATGCTGTGTGTTAGACTAGGCTGTGAGGGACTGAGCTAACCTGTTATTTAAAGTATCTGAAAGTGCTCAGTCTCCCGCTGTCTGATGTTGTGCCGCTCTCCTAAGGTCCATCATTAGAACTATTGAAGTGTTTCGTCTCATCCTTGTCATACAACCATTGGCACTTGGTGTGGAGACGTTGTTCCCTTTACAAATGACAGTCACTGTCAGGCAGGCAGCATTAGCGGAGGCAGAATAAAGGGATCTTCCTTTTTAAAGCCACTGTCAATCTTATTTTCCCTTTTTAGTGCCACAGCGCTTTAAAATTCATTAAAGCCATTTAGCAATGCGTATGTATTCTGCATGTCTTCTCCTGCTGAAAGATTTCTTCAATATTCTGTAGATTTCTTCAAGATTCCCGCTCACACACCTGAACACACACACCACACTTTGTAATTATTTTCCATGAGAGAGGGGGAGCGAGGGATGACATACAACCACAAGTTTAGTTTGTACATTGATTTCAGTACTTATTTAAACAATAAAGTTCATGTTGGCAGAAGCTGCGATTCAGCCACCTTCCCCAATAAACTATCCAGGGGTCGTTTCTAATGCGGCCGATGAAATATTTATAAATGGCCTTTCTCCCCTTCTACTCACGCCTTGTTCACCTAGCTGAGGCAGCATTAGTGAAATGGAGGGGTTCTGCTCCGGAAGGCAAGGTGATCTGTACCTAGACCAGAGCAGGACAGTATTAATGCAGGAGCTGAATACATAGGGATGGAGGTAGGAGAAAGGTAGAGGAGCAGGGGAGAGGATGGGGGGGGGGGGGGGAGAGAGGGATTGTTAATACACTTAAGGGCTAGGAGGAATGGCCACAATATGATTTGACATGCTTAACATAAATGTATGGGAAGGGTTTGTATTGAGGTGGCCTATGTGGGGGAAATGAGAGGGAGTGGAGCAGTGTGTGTGTGGGGAGGGAGGGGTTGCAATCTTCTGCAATTGAGGTTTATGAATAATTCCTCTCATACCCCCTTCCTGACTTTCAAATTATGGGAGCTGGAGCGAGGGAGGGGAAAATGATATTACAGCGCGGGGTCATCCACATTCTGACACCGGCAGAGCACCCAACCAAATTGGTCCCATCTCTTTTCCCTTAAATATTTACTTATACCTATGAATCTCTGTGATTGGATGAGTGTGGAGGAGCCCAGTGCTGTGAGTGTGTATATGGTTGTGTGTGTGCATGAGTGTGTGTGCGTGCATGCTTGTTTATGTATGTATGTGTGTGTGCATGTGTGGGTTTGTATGTCTAGATTTGTGTGTGTGTGTCTGTGTGTGTGAGTGAGTGAAGGGAAATTAGACTATGGATGCATCTCTGTCAGTGCAGTGAACATTAGCAACCCCTGGATGCAGAAGAGTGATACTGCAGGCTGAACATATTATGGTCTGTGCTCTCTAGTCTTGAGTGGTGTATGGCTCACACTGAAACATGCACATATGGGGATGTGGTAGCTTTCAACTGTAGTTTTAGTAATAGTCTCATGAGTTGTCAGAAATGCTGTGCTGGCCAGTAGGGTAAGGTTAACAATGGACAGTACTCATTATTTTTTATATCTCATATTTTCATATTTTTTAACAGTTCAGAGGAGGGCCGAATATTTTTTTACATATTCATATCATGTCCTTTGAGTGCTTGTCATCCCTCAAATGATTATTCCTTTTGTCTTTGAAGATTATAGACCATAAATTGTCCTTGTTTGTGAGCCAACTCCCTAAAAGATCAGTGTTTATGAGTTGTACTGCTATAGTGTAATGGGCCAGCCGTGTTGCTGCTGCTACTGCCTCTGTGCTGGCTGGGTGGGCGGGGAGGAGTGTCCTTTAAAGGTGAACGCCATGTCAGCCGCTTGCTCAGTGGCCTGAAGATTAATAACGCGGACACTAATTACTATCTCCTTTTAATTTCTTCATTTTAAATGTGGCTTTGTTGCAGTCATGCCTGTAGGCCTACATAAACCACTCTCTTTTTTCCCCATGCATTTAATAAAAGTCAGGGTTATTCACCAAGGATACTGAGGAATGATGAGCCTCAATATAGAGTCGCTTTGGCGTGAGGCTTTGGTTGTAATTTCCTTTATTTGAAATTAATTGATGCATAGTAATTACCTGAGAAATATGAGGTGAAGTGGAATATAGCCCTTAGTCGCTCAGGGCTCTAACATGGCCTGTAGATTAAAAAATGACGGGCAGAAAAGGGGAGGGGAAAAAGAGAGATAATATTCAGTTATTGTTAGCATATGCATTAAAAGTGAATGACTTGTAGCACTGGGGAGTTGAACCTGCTTCTCCATATTAATGGTTAAATTGCTGAGGGACTAGAGGCGAGTGAGGAGCAGAGGGACATGGGGAGAGAGAGCTTCAGTAGTTTGGCCCTGTGAAGTGAGGAGGAGACTGAATGGAGGGAGTTCCAGTACAATAGATGGCTTTGAGTCTGTCCCTGAACGATCAGGCCGTTGTGGGAAGGGATTGTGAGAGGGATGGTTATGGGTAGAGCGCGGCTGGGCCTGGACCCTGGGCAGAGTGGTAGGTATCAGGCAGTAGGGCCATGTGGCCTGGCACCATCGAAGCCTGAACTGTGGCTTATGTTTTTACGACCGGAGGCTTCTGGGTTCCGAGACAGGGCTGGGTCTGCAGACAGGATAGGGCCAGTCGGTAGGAGGGGGAGGAGACTGAGGAGCTGGTGACCACATGCATCCTTTTCCCAGGCCTCCTGTGGGACAGTGTCCCACCGATGGTCAGGCTTCTCTAGCCACCACTAGGCTTACCATCCCAGACCCAGACACCCGCCACGGGAAATCATCTCTTCCCTTTTCCTCTGCTCTCCTTTCCTCTCCTCTCCTCTCCTCTCCGTCCGGTCACCTCCAACTCGTGGAATATCCCTTCCCAAGGACGTAGAGGCAGATCATAGACACGGTGGCAACTGTAATTGCATTCCTCAAAGATTTCAATGGCAGAAGACCTGTTGTGTTAATTCAGCCTGCCTTGTGTCGGTCACTCACTCCAGCTGCCATCTTTTTGCCCCCTTGAAAGCACAAGAAGGCTGTGATTGCTCCAGAGACCAGGCTGTGTGCTGACAGCCCCCTCGCTGCAGCCTGAGTAATGCAGCCCAGCCCAGGGAGGTGAGACAAGGTGCCAAAGTCCAATTCACTTACGGGACTCGACAGCACAAAAGCCCCTGGTTTACGGAAAAGGCCCATGAATTAATAATCACCTAATTGACTCTTAAGGGTTCTTTCCCTCCTGCTATGCCTTTTGTGCTCTCAGATGAAAGTCCACTCTGTGCATCTGTCAGAGATGGTTTGGGCTGGATGTGAGGTGGGTGTGTAATGAGCGGAGAGGAGGAGAGGTCAGGGTCACACACAGGGTCCTCTCAGTCAAAGAGGTCACTGGGGAGGCCCCACAGTGATCCACATGTATGGATGAAGCCATAATGATGAGCCCCTCTGATGACAAACTGATTCACACCCTATCACAGGAGAGCTACACAGACAGTTCCAGGACAAGGTCACAGAGGGACTCCATATATGAAAGCACAGTTCAGATTGTCCTCTGATGGTAATTTGACAAGGAGAGACAGCGATATTTGAATATTGAAGAACTTGATATCCTTGATTGTCATTTTATGCAGCATATTAAACTTCAAATTGCCTCCCAAGGGCGGGCCAAATGTAGTGGGACCTTAGAGACTAATAGAGTTCACCTTACTGTACGTTTTCCCCCCAACTGAACCCAATGTCTTTATTTTGATCTTCATAGCCAGAATGTGGCCATGTGCTGAGCCCAGTGCACATGAATTACAGTGTGGGTCCTGGAGGAGGCAGAGGCCCTTCCATCAGGAGCCAATGTTCTGCTCCTAGCCCCTGTTAATGGATCTGGTCGGCCCCGATGCTCGGCCATGTTCTGATACCAGCCCATCCATGCCACGCTCAGACCGCACACGCTGCTAAAATCCCCTCACCCTCTGTTTTTATCAGCCTCCTTTTCGTTCCGGTATGTTCCCAGGCTCGCTCTGTGTTGGGCTCTCTTTTTTCTCTTCGCTTGACAACGAAAACAGGATACGGTAGCTGGACTTTAGTCACAGGGCTGGTGGCAGGAGTGGGCTTTTGGATTCTTAGGAGAGAGCGATTGATCAGATTTATGGACTCCTAACAGGCCGTGACGAGGTAAGGCTGTGCCCTGAGCAAGCCTTCCCACCCCGCTCTCTGACTCTCTCTCTCTCACACACACACACACACACACACACACACACACACACACACACACACACACACACACACACACACACACACACACACACACACATACACACAGACACACACACACACACACACACTGTACATGTACACCCACATACATTATACACTGGTAGACCCAGGCAGCTGTTGGCTGTTGTTTGAGGGCTTCTTGTGTATTGTTTAATATAGGTATTAAGTGTGTTGGCCTGGGGACTCCATAGCCCATGCATTATGTTGTCCATTACCCTGGCCTGATAGATCATATCAGCCTCATTGAAGACTGTTGTCCAGTAACACTGCCTCTCTCAGAGCAAAGCAGGCTTCAGCTGCTTCCCCTTCTCCAGCTGTTTGCCCTGTACTGAAGGCCTGGCCACATATGGGCATTTATGGGCCTGTCTTTATGTGTGAGGATTTCCACCCTGATAGTGAGCAGTTAAAGTTGTAGGTCTGATTTCTAACTAACCGCTTAGCAAGGCAGCAAGGTCCTGGACTGGTAGGAGGACTTACCTCATAGTCTTTTAACATGAGGGGGGGGGGGGGGGTGACTATCACATAGTAGTCAGTTGGACTACCACCAGAGAGTGAGTGGGCCAGGAAAGAGAAATAGGGAGAGAGGAGGAGTGAGGATAGGGGGCAGTGAGTGAAGAGGCAGTGAAGTGAAGTGAAGTGGAGGAGGAAGTGGTAAGGACAGTTCATGACTGAGAGGTTAATGTCAGGGAATGGGGAGGTGCCTTTGTTTAACATTTCCTTTGTTTATTGGTTGATGTGTTTAATGGGATTGTGTCTGACTGGACCTAATAGGGCCTCCCTGGCTGATCCCAGTGTCTCTGAGAGATCTAGCAGGCTGCTCTGACCAAAGGCAGGGCAGGGCCCCCACTGGGTAATCAGCTCAGCTGCCCCCGGCCTGATTGGAGCTGACATTTTAATGTCTGGAGCAGGAGCGTGGTCAGCCCTGCTTAACCTGACCCCCCCCTAACCCCCCCCTCGCCCCCTTCCCAATGCCCCCTGTTCTCAATTTGCCCTTCCAGGACTGTACAAATCAGGCCAAATTTAACTCTTTATGGCCTTGTTAAGGGCCGGCAAGACACCTCCTTAAGTTTCACAGTGAATTCTTTCCGCTGGCGGCGGGGCACTGTGGTGCTCTGGCTCCCCCATGCCGGCTCCGTGTGGATTTAGCTCCTTTACGAGCGCCGGCTTAGCTGAGTATTTTTACTCAGCTGTGATTCCTTTCTGTTTGCCGCTCCCATTTTGTTTGGCTTTATTTCTCTCTCTCTCTCTGTCTACCTCCCTCCCTCCCTCTCTCTCTCTCTCTCTCTCTCTCTCTCTCTCTCTCTCTCCCTCTCTCTCTTTTGGCTTTCTAACAGGGAGTTCTCTCCTCTCTGGTTAGCTGAGCAGAAGCTTCTTGTTGTGGGGCCTGGCTCAGTAGAGACGGAGAGAGACAGGGAGCGGGAGGGAGGGAGAGGCTGGCTGCATTGTTAATGCTGCTGCAGGTTGCATTAAAAGGATTAGCTGTGTGATACGTTCAGCCGGCTAGTAGAGCAGAGCATACTGGAGCCTGCAGTGACAGTAGAGAGGGGGTATTCCTGCCTGAGATGGGCAGGTACCTGACAATTAGCCGCTCTTTACATTTCAGCCCACTGTGTGCACCAAAGCATGGCTGTCTTGTACATCCTGTGGTGCATATGGATGCTAGTCAGTAGGCTAATTCCCTATTGAATCCCCCTAGGGGGTTTTGGAAAAAGGTTTTGTTTCTCCTCAAAATTCCTTGTCTTTCTAAGAGCTGAATGTTGTGTTGTGGTTGTGAAGCCTGATGGCCATGTTGGTTTGTGAAGGGGGGAACCCACAGTTGGGATGTGAGGGTCTGGGGTCTGAATGAGTCTCTCTATCCACTTTCTCTTTGTCACAGTCCACTTGGCCCGACCCACAACCCACAGGAGGAGGCTTAGCTGGTTACAGAAATTCCAATTAAGTCGAGAGTTGCACTGGCACTCACTTGCTGTGTAGGCACAAAGAGCAGGAGGATTTACCCAAGCGGGGTCAAGCTATAGGTCAGTGTTTCCACCAGGATTTCAGAGGATATTGGGTCCACAACTTCTAAAGCTCTAACTGCCAAGCCAAATTGCAGCTCTCCTTCCTCTGACACCATTCCTATTTCATTCCTGGCAGAGGAATCCAAGGACCTCACCCCTCTTTGGTAGCAATTTCAACTGAAATGTATTTTGATGAGGAGCAAGCTTATACGGCCATTGGTCATGAGTGCTATGAAAGCGAAAATCAAATTTCTTGCTCCCTTCTCAACCAGTCCACAGCCACCTCAGCATTATACATGGCCTTGCCTAGCATGACCATCTGTTTTGATAATTGTGGGAATTGGTGAAAGTGAAAATAAAGTTGGGAATTGCTGAGGTTTACACCTCTTGATGAAAGTCTGGCAGTAGATTCCCTCACTTCTAGTAGGCCCTCTTGCTAGCTAATTGGATGTACTGTATCAATGGGGACCTATCTACCATTGTAAACAATAACAGTGTGTGCTAATGTTATGCAACTATTTATAGATGGTGTTATGTCTATCATATCTGTGTAAATGAAACCATAGAAAAAGAGGTGTGAATGAATACACACCTCTTTGCAAGTCAGAGCTGAGTACCTGTATAAGAGCAGCTGTAAAGGAGTACCTGGGAGAAAGAAAGCAGTCACTTTTGAAGCTGAACTGAGGACTGATATGGATCTCATTACCTTAATGCTGGAGATGCGAGGAGATGTTTACCCTGTCTCAAGTTTGGCGAATCCCTCATCTCCAGCGCCACTTCAAACGGCAAATCTGAGGTAGAGTGAAACCTAAAGCTGCCCAATGTGGCAAACTAATGTTTTGATTAGCCGTCTGTGGCGCTGTCTGATGTCCTAACGATCCAACATGGGGAGAGACAGGCCGTCAAAGCACCATGGCTGTGTGTTGCTGCAGTGGCATGGGAGGAGAAGTATACAGACTGGTGGTTTGGAGGGGGAGCTGTGGATTGGCTGATCAACTGCTTCCCTGCCCAAGTCCCATTAAACGCAGTTATATCACATTTAAGAAAGACATTTCAAAGCCCTTTATCCACACTTATTGATTGACTTGTTCCCGGGCTGCCAAGTCTTCACCTTGTCTTGATGAGTCTGCTTCTCTTCTCTGCCCCTGTGTGTGTGTGTGTGTGTGTGTGTGTGTGTGTGTGTGTGTGTGTGCAGCAGGATCCAGCCAATCAGAGAGGGACCAGACAGACTCCCCGAACCCCTCCAAGAGGCCCTCCTCACGGTCAGGGGCCACAGAGAGCCCCCTCTCCTCCAAGCGTCCCAGGACGGCTGAGAAGAGTGCTGCTGCAGAGCAGGTAACAGCCCACTCCTTCTGCTCTATCTTCAACACACAGCCTGCTGCCACTTCCAGAAGGATGGTCATATTAAGACATACAGACTCACTGTTCCCAAACTCTTTGAACTTGCCAATCAACTCAAGGTTATCCCATCCCCAATTACCATGCCCTCATTATAAGCACTAAAACTTACACATTAATTTAGAAAAGGAATGTAAAGACTAGCTACTTCTAAGCATTTTTCTTAAAGACATTTGAAAAAAGCCGTGCCGTTTTGCATTATGCATGATTTTTTTGAAATCTCCTTAAAATTTGTTTTGCTTTCCTGCTGCAGTTGCATTGCTAATTGTGCAAAAGGTGGAAAATCAATATAGTATTTGACAGATGAGAGAGCTTTGAAGTGTGTGTGCCAGGACTCACTGTTGCTCTCCATATTGCCCACTGGTCCATGATCAGAGGGACCTGCCTGGTAGAGACACGGGGGGGGGGGCAACACTCCTCCATTCATCCTCCCATTCCAACTCCTCTCTCTCACAAAGTAGGCCTACAACTCTCCATCTCACCCCATTAACCTCCCTGTGCTCCTCTCTCCCCCCTCTCCTCCTCTCTCCCCCCTCTCCTCTCTCCCTCATCTCCTCCAGATGTACCAATGTCCCTACTGCAAGTTCAGCAACACAGACCTGAACCGCCTGAGAATGCACGTGATGACGCAGCACTCTGTCCAGCCCATGTTCCGCTGCCCGCTCTGCCAGGACATGCTGAACAACAAGATCCATCTGCAGTTCCACCTCACACACCTCCACAGCGTGGCGCCCGACTGCGTCGAAAAGCTCATCGCCACGGTACGTGTGTGTGTTCATCTGTGTGTTAGAGTGTTCGTGTGCGTCTGTGTGGACTGTGGATACAGTATGTGTATACTGTACATTGGTCCTTAGGCACTGTATTCTTTAGAAATATTTAACCATGGCCCCTGCAATGCTGTTACATACCAATAGTCAGCTCAATTATATACAGGGAATGCACATTCCCTAAAGCTAAATTAAACCATCCTAAAATATCAATGCCAAGCCTCCTGCACACATCCATCTCAGTAAAATAGGGTGAACACAACTGTTGTTGTAATAATAATTGATTGCATTTATATAACGCCTTTCCACCTACAGTAGGTGCTCAAAGAGCTTTACATAGTAGGGGGGAAACTCACCTCTTCCACCACCAATGTGTAGCACCCACTTGGGTGATGCACTGCAACCATTTTATGCCAGGAGGCTCACCACACATCAGCTATTGTACAAATATGCTGTTTTATAAGATAAACAACTGTAAATGGTTTCTGAGATGTTCAAGGTAGTTCAGTCCGTAATCATCTCGCTGGGTTTTCATACCCTTTCTTCTGGTCCATTGTGGTCATTCTGTTTGTGAAGCTACAGGCAGGTGCCTGCCTCTGGGATTTGTGCATTGATTACTGTTATCCTCTTAATCCATGGACACTGGATTGCATGGGTACTTCATGACATCTTTTTTTAAAGGGCCTTTTTAAACACACTGAATACATTGAGAGGAAAGCACAACACAGGAGCAAATGTCATGGCTCTGCCACCTAGCCTGAATACCCAGCCCATACTGTACTCATTTTTACATTTACATTTTAGTCATTTAGCAGACGCTCTTATCCAGAGCGACTTACAGTTAGTGAACACATATATATATATATATATATATTTTTTTATACTGGCCCCCCATGGGAATCGAACCCACAACCCTGGCGTTGCAAACGCCATGCTCTATCAACTGAGCTACATCCCTGCCGGCCATTCCCTCCCCTACCGTGGACGACGCTGGGCCAATTGTGCGCCGCCCATGAGTCTCCCGGTCGCGGCCGGCTGCGACAGAGCCTGGATTCGAACCAGGATCTCTAGTGGCACAGTTAGCACTGCGATGCAGTGCCTTAGACTACTGCGCCACTCAGATGTACTCTATACATCCTTTACCACATTTATAATAACCATTGTGTCTGTTTAGTAATTTATTTTCTCTGTGAGAAGTGATGAAGAGGCCATGGGAAGAAGCAAGGCCTTTTTGTTGCTCTGCGTGTGTGAGCTTAGCGCATGTAGCGTATGTCTGTACACAAAGGGCAATGCAGGCAGGCTGGCTGGGTCCCATCAGGTCAAGGACTAACGGAGGCCTTAGCTGTGTCTCTTCTCTGTAGCCCAGAGATGACTCACTCACTGTTACTCACCCTGCCTGCATGCCTGGCTGGCTGTTTGTAATGGAGCACGTCATTCCAGTCTTCTCTCTTCCAAATTGATGACATTTGAAGCTTTATCAAATACAAAGGAAACTGTTAATTGTGAAATGGCTCCAAGGCATCCCATTGACTCACTGCCAGTCAGATATTATGGGGGTTAGGTTCAGATGCTTTAGCCATATTCTAATGTGGCGTTGTCTAATGTGCCTATGGTCAATGAGCCCTTTTTTCGGTCTCATTGTTATCGTAGTCAATTGAGATAGTGAGGGGGGAGAGAGACAGATAAGTCTGTTGTTTGCTTGATGAGCAGCTCTCTTACCTCCCAGTCCATTTATTCTCAGGAGCACATTGATATTCACTCAGTGTCTGTGATCACCTCAGTGCTATTCAAAACAAAGGCTTTTATTAATAATATATTCAAGTTATTGTGACACAGATGAATTGAAATTTAATGAATACTTGTTTTCCTCTTTAATGAAATGCAAGTTCAGGCAATGGAAAGATTATTATTCACTATTTCTTTAATCTAGCTTGCCAACCTCAAATCTCACGTGAATAATGAATTCACCAATTTCACAGAGAGACAATAGGGACTGTGTGTCTGTACAATCACCCCTAACGTTTCCCATAGATATATCACTATCTAGGAACTATCTGTACAAAAAACGTAAAGCCTAAAGCATTAATATACATTCTGAAGGTAGATATAGACTCACACAAATGTAATATCAGTATTTACAAATTGGACTCTGTCTACCTCTGCTACATTACCCCAGTGAAAGAACTCAGTTCATTTTGTTTTAATCATCATCAAAGGGAAATATGGTTTTATTTGCCCTCCTTTGATTTCCTGTAAATGACTGTGCAAATGTTGACATTTGTTCTTGCCTGAGGAACTGAATTGCTCGCTGGACAATCATTCAGGAGAATGGTGCTCTGCCTAGCTGCCTAGCCATCTTTCTAGCCCGGCTAGAAAGCAAATGGCGAACACATTAGTATGGAAGGCAGCAGTATTTTTCTTTTATAGAGATAATAATGCACTGAGCCCCTACAAGAGGCACAGGAGAGAACCATAGGTAATATAATGCACATTAAAACACCTTTTTTTTTTTTTACTGGTGGACATAGATGAAAAGGTACTCTATCCTTTTCACATGTGTAGCAGACGAGCCTAATGAATTCTGAAATAGGATACTTTTATTTCATGCCGACCATGCATAAAGATGCACACACTCTCTCAGCCTTCATTTTTATCCACCATGTGCTCTCTCTCTCTCTCTCTCTCCCTCTCTCTCTCTCTCTCTCTCTCTCTCTCTCTCCCTCTCTCTCTCTCTCTCTCTCTCTCGCTTTCTCCTGCAGCCCCATCCTTCCATTACCCCTCCCTTTCTCTCTCCTCTCTCACTCCCTCGCTTCCTCTCTCTTTCCCTCTCTCTCCTCCCCTCCCTTTCTCATTGTATGTCTCATTTTCTGTCTGTCTAAGATAGGGGTAATGAAAATAATTGTGCTTCATTAATTCTGAGTCTGGCTAGATGATAGCCATTTTGAACTATGTTTGCCAATTAGGCGGTCCAAATGAAAAGTGACCTTGGGATACTCTGTGCTCTTGCCTCTCGTCGTCTAATGAAGCAGTTGTCTAGAAACAGTCCACTTTGTAATGTAAATCACTGCTGTGTTTTGTATTTGTGGTATTCTCCATGCTGGTTGCATTAATTTGCCACTCTCTGTTTGGAGGAGAGAGAGAAAACAGAAAGGAAGGAAAATGTCTGGATATTTTCCAGTGAATTTCTGTTGAGACTAATCACACAGTGATGGACTACAGAACGTTTACTGTTCCACTTAACCCTGGAGCCCTATGCAAACCTGCTGTTGCTTGAGGAGGGCTCTGCCTTGTGTAGGACTGGAGTGGGTCTGTTTGGAGCTGGGTGCCATGCTTTGTTTACAGACATGTCCTCATTGTCACTATTTGCAGGACACACTGCCAGTTGCAGACTGGGGTGGGTTGGGGTACTGTGAATTGAAATGCGGCTTGGGGAGTGAGGCTGATTATTCTGTTTGGGGAGTTAATTGAAGGAAGGTGAAGCAGACAGTGCCTCATCTCCCGGCCTCTTCCAATCTCAATCACTGATTATTGTTAAATAGGAGCTGCTTAATGAGTGCATTTGATGGATTGTTGTATTTCTTTAAGGGGAAAGAGGGGCTATGAGGGGGAGACATGGGAGAGGAGGAGGGGTGGGGGGAGATAATATGGAGGGAGGTGGCTGTCATTCACCCATGATTGACTTCAACCTTTTGAGAGCAAAGAAAACCTGGCCGCTTCTCTGCAGTTTTTTAATCAATATTCATTGCTCCTTGAAATGTTCTAATTAAAATGGTAGAAACAATTTAAACAATTGTATAGTGGAAAAATACATAGCATGGCTCCTGAAACGTCCATTTTTTTGCGTATTTGTTCAGAAATCGTTGTTCAAATCAAATGAAATCAAATTGTATTTGTCACATGCGCCAAATACAACAGGTGTAGACCTTACAGTGAAATGCTTACTTACAAGCCCTTAACCAACAATGCAGTTTTAAGAAAGAATACCTAAAAAAAATAAGAAATAAAAGTAACAAATAATTAAAGAGCAGCAGTAAAATAACAATAGCGAGGCTTTATACAGGGGGTACCAGTACCGAGTCAATGTGCGGGGGCACCGGTTAGTCGAGGTAATTGAGGTAATATGAGTTATTAAAGTGACTATGCATAGATAATAAACAGAGAGTAGAAGCAGCGTAAAAGAGGGGGTAGGGCAATGTCTTTGACCATTTTTAGGGCCTTCCTCTGACACCGCCTGGTATAGAGGTCCTGGATGGCAGGAAGCTTGGCCCCAGTAATGTACTGGGCCGTACGCACTACCCTCTGTAGTGCCTTGCGGTCGGAGGCCGAGCAGGCAGGCAGTGATGCAACCAGTCAGGATGCTCTCGATGGTGCAGCTGTAGAACCTTTTGAGGATCTGAGGACCCATGCCAAATCTTTTCAGTCTCCTTAGTGGGAATAGGTTTTGTCGTGCCCTCTTCACGACTGTCTTGGTGTGCTTGGACCATGTTAGTTTGTTGGTGATGTGGACACCAAGGAACTTGAAGCTCTCAACCTTCTCCACTACAACCCCGTCGATGAGAATGGGGGCGTGCTCGGCCCTCTTCTTTTTCCTGTAGTCCACAATCTTCTCCTTTGTCTTGATCACGTTGAGGGAGAGGTTGTTGTCCTGGCACCACACGGCCAGGTTTCTGACCTCCTCCCTATAGGCTGTCTCGTCGTTGATCAGGCCTACCACTGTTGTGTCATCGGCAAACTTAATGATGATGTTGGAGTCGTGCCTGGCCATGCAGTCATGAGTGAACAGGGAGTACAGGAGGGCACTGAGCACGCACCCCTGTGGGGCCCCTGTGTTGAGGATCAGCATGGTGGATGTGTTGTTACCTACCCTTACCACCTGGGGGCGGCCCGTCAGGAAGTCCAGGATCCAGTTGCAGAGGGAGGTGTTTAGTCCCAGTTGTTGAACCTGTTCATGTTTGGATTTATCCATAGTAGCTCTACATTTACATTTAAGTAATTTAGCTGACGCTCTTATCCAGAGCGACTTACAGTTAGTGAATACATATATATATATATATATATTTTTTTTATACTGGCCCCCCGTGGGAATCGAACCCACAACCCTGGCGTTGCAAACGCCATGCTCTATCAACTGAGCTACATCCCTGCCGGCCATTCCCTCCCCTACCCTGGACGACGCTGGGCCAATTGTGCGCCGCCCATGAGTCTCCCGGTCGCGGCCGGCTGCGACAGAGCCTGGACTCGAACCAGGTTTTCCATACGTAGATCTCAATTTTGTATTCTTACTGCACCTGAAATAGCTTTAACGTAACTGACGTTAAACCACTATATTGTGACTTATGCGGGATTGGAAGGCACAGACTATTTCCCCAAATTGAAATGCTTATATTACCCAGAATGCCTCTTGTCTATGACAGCATTGCTCCGCTCTGGTCCTTATCATTGGAATGGGATGTGCTTTTTTCATGGAATAATTATTTAATTAGGTGGCCTAATAAGCTTTTCAGTTGGCCAAGGTAGGTCTTTCAGCCCATCTCACTAATTGGCTGCAGCAGAACTTTCCAGGCGCATGACAAAACACCAGTAGTGATCAAAGTGCAAATTCCAGGGAAAAAGTAAAAAGTAATATGATTATTTGTGCATGTGTGTGTGTGTGCATGTGAGAGAGAAACCTCGTGCAAGGGTTTCCGAGATTTTTAAAAATGTGTATCAATTCCATTAGGAAAATATGTGTACAATTTTAAATGGAAAGAATATATAATAACATTATCTTTTTGTGAGCTTACAGAAACTCAGTTGTTAATTACAGAAACACAGTAATTAACATGGGATGTGTCTTGTGTTTGATTTTCCAGGTGACAGCATCAGAGGTTCTGCCAGAAAGCATGTTCATACCAGTACCAGGCCCAGACAGAGAGGCACAAAGCAGCACCCCACAGGCCACGGCTAACTCCAGCTCTGAAGATATCAAGAAACAAGCCGGTCAGTATAGCACCATGTATTTACCACTGCTTATGTGAAGGATAGCGATGGCACTGTTCTCATTACACAGTCTCCCTTTGGAAAATGTAATGAAAATGCAGGTGATCATGCCAAGGCCATCATTGACAACAAAGGAAAAATTTATGATTCCTGCATCTGCAGGAGTCTGAATTAGTTATTACTTCTGTGTGTTGCAACCTCCCCCCTCCCTTGGGATTCTGAAATGATACATGCGTCAATGACTCCTAAGTAAAGATAAGATGTCCTCTGTTGAAATTAAATGTTCTTGCACAAAGACTCTGCTTATGTGGGAGCCTCTTTAATTCATTTTTTCTTTCTCTTTATTTATTGACAGAACCATCAGATGCTGAGTCTGAGAAAGGGGTCTCACTGCCTATAGAAATAGCTGAAGCTCGCAAGTCACCTCTGGAGGATCAGCAGTCTGGAAGGGAAGACACAGGATTCCTGTGTTGGAAGAAAGGCTGTAACCAGGTCTTCAAGTCCTCCAACTCCCTCCAGGTGCACTTCAACGAGGTTCACAACAAAAGGCCTCAACTGCCTGTCTCAGACCGGCATGTCTACAAGTACCGCTGCAACCAGTGCAGCCTGGCCTTCAAGACGGTGGAGAAACTGCAGCTGCACTCACAGTACCACGTCATCAGAGCAGCCACGATGTGCTGCCTCTGTCAACGCAGCTTCAGGACCCTGCAGGCCTTGAAGAAACATTTGGAGACCAGCCACCTAGAGTTGAGCGAGGCTGACATCCAACAGCTCTACGGAGGCTTACTGATGAACGGAGACCTTATGGTCATGGGAGATCCATCACTTGGAGAGGACCACGGAGGACTGGGAGAAGATGACAAAGAGGGAGAGGACAGTGACCAAGAGGAGAAGCAAAGCCCAACAGGCAGCGACTCTGGCTCATTGCTAGAAGATTTTGGATCAGAGCCCAAGCGTGCCCTGCCATTCAGGAAAGGTCCTAACTTTACCATGGAGAAGTTCCTGGACCCATCTCGTCCTTTCAAGTGCACGGTGTGCAAAGAGTCATTCACACAGAAGAACATCCTTCTGGTTCACTATAACTCTGTCTCACACCTGCACAAGGTCAAGCGGGCCCTACAGGAGTCCACTACTGGTCAACCAGAGCCCACCAGCAGCCCTGACAATAAACCATTCAAGTGCAGCACTTGCAACGTGGCTTACAGCCAGAGCTCTACTCTAGAGATCCACATGCGCTCTGTCCTCCACCAGACCAAGGCCCGCGCAGCCAAGCTTGAAGCAGCAGGAGGAAACACCAGCTCCAGCAGTGGCTCTGGATTAAGTGGCGGTGGATCCACCATCAGCACTTCAACTCCAAGCCCGAGCCCAGCTACTAACTCAACAACCAGCTCCAGCAACCACAGCTCTTCTGGGGCTCAGACTACACAGAGTATTCTTGGAGGCAACCACATGAGCCAGTCTCACAGCATTGAAAGCCTTGGGAACTCCTCGATGACTTGTCATCCGTCACCGTCTGAAAACCATGAATCGAAAAAGAAGAAATTTGCAGACATGCTCTCTGCAAGGGGACAGCAGCAGCAGCAGCAGCAGCAGCAGCTTCAGCAGCAACAGCAACAGCAGTTGGCTCAGGCCCAAGCCCAAGCCCAGGCCCAGCTCCAACAAGAGCTCCAGCAGCAAGCTGCCCTCATCCAGTCCCAGCTCTTCAACCCAGCACTTCTGCAGCACTTCCCCATGACAACTGATGCTCTTCACTCACTGCAGCAACAGCAGCTGCTCTTCCCTTTCTACATCCCTGGAGCAGAATTCCAACTGAACCCAGAGATGAACCTCAACAGTTCTGCACTTGGCCTGTCAAGCTCCTCTGCCAACTCACTGTTGGAGGACCTGAAGAACTCTGCCCAGCAGGCTCAGGCTCAGAGCTGCCTGCAACAGCAGCTGATGCACCACCACCTTCAGCAGCAGCACCAACAACAGCAGGCCCAAGCCCATTCTCAGGCCCAGGGCCAGATGGCTTTGCTTCAGCAGAGTGCCAATCTCCTTCACCAGGCTGAGAAAAAGCAGAAGGCTGCTGCCGCCCACAATGAGAAGCAAGAGAGAGAAAGGGAAATACAAAGAGAAAAAGACCTAAGAGAGAAAATTGAGGAACATGTCACAAAAGACAGCTCTGACAACAAGTCAAACGAAAAGAAGGATATGCAACAGACTGCAATGAACTCCAACCACGATCCTGGCTTTCCTCCACCAAGGATTGCTTCAGATGCTCGTGGAAATGCCACTAAAGCCCTTCTGGAGAACTTTGGGTTTGAGCTAGTGATTCAATACAATGAAAACAAGCAGAAAGCTCAGAAGAAGCCAGCTGGGCCGGGACCAGCTGGAACAAGCACGCCTGGTGGGATCATAAGAGTGGTGGACCCCATCGAGGGATTGGAGAAGCTGGAATGTGAGGCCTGTGGAAAGCTATTTTCAAACATACTGATTCTGAAGAGTCATCAGGAGCACATCCATCAGGCCTTCTTCCCATTCCGCTCCCTGGAGAGATTTGCCAAGGAATACAGAGAGCAATATGACAAACTGTATCCACTCAGACCCCAGACACCAGAGGCTGCTCCCCCTGCTCCTCCACCTCCTCCTCCTCCTCCTCCTCCACCTCCACCCCCTCCGCAGAGAGCCCCAACACCAAATATTCCTGTCTCTGCTCCCTCCATCACACCCCCAACTGTGTCGACCCCACAGCCTCCAGTTCAAATGGCTCAAATTCCCATGCCAATGGATATGCCCCTCTTCTCACCACTCATGATGCAGTCAATGTCTCTACAGTCCATGCCCTCTCAAATGCAATCCCAGATGTCATCTGTGGAGTCACAGTCACTGGCTAACGATCTGGCCCAGCTTTACCAACAGCAGCTCACACCAGCCATGCTACAGCAGCAGCAGAATAAGAGGCCCCGGACACGTATCACTGATGACCAGCTTAGGGTCCTTCGGCAGTACTTTGACATCAACAACTCCCCCAATGAGGAGCAGATTAAAGAGATGGCAGATAAGTCAGGGCTGCCCCAGAAAGTAATCAAACACTGGTTCCGCAACACCCTCTTCAAAGAGCGCCAGCGCAACAAAGACTCACCCTACAACTTCAACAACCCACCCATTACCACTCTGGAGGATACCAAAATTGACTCTAAACCCCCTTCCCCTGAGCCTCAAAGACAGGAGTGTTATGGGAGTAAGAGATCCTCAAGAACAAGGTTTACAGACTACCAATTGAGGGTGCTTCAGGACTTCTTTGATGCTAACGCCTACCCCAAAGATGATGAATTTGAACAGCTCTCCAACCTCCTGAGCCTCCCCACCCGTGTCATTGTGGTGTGGTTCCAAAATGCTCGTCAGAAGGCACGCAAGAATTACGAAAACCAGGGGGATGGAAGCAAAGACGGTGAGCGAAGAGAGCTGTCCAATGACCGTTACATTCGCACCACCAACCTGAACTACCAGTGCAAGAAATGCAGTCTGGTTTTCCAGCGTATATTTGACCTCATAAAGCACCAAAAGAAGCTGTGTTACAAAGATGAAGATGATGATGGGCAATACGACAGCCAAAACGAGGACTCTATGGATCTTTCGCATGAATACTACACCCCCTCTGGTTCCTCTTGTCTCACCCCTATGCCTTCCTCCTCAAGCCTCTGCCCTCTCCCTCCCTCCACCTCAGCTTTCTCCCACCTATCATCCTCTGAGAAGGAAGAAGCCTCACCAGCTAACACATCAAACTCTTATGATGAGAAGCCCAAACATTCGGCTGAAATGTCCTCAGATCCACGTGAGCACCAGACCACCATCAAACAGGAGACTGTGCATCAGCCACAATCTGAGACTCAACATCAGAGAAGAGAAGCACGAGAGGAGAAGCCACAAACAGCCCCAAAGACAAACAAGCATTCTTCTCCTTCCCTCTCGCAGCAGCAACGTGAGTGTGGTCCCTCAGCCTCTCAGACAATCCAGGCTGAGAGAACTTCTCAGAGCTCCCACATGGGCCTCAACCCTCACATGAGCTCTGCATCACAACAACAGCTGGCACAGCAAATTATCCAATACCAGTGTGAGCAGTGCAAGCTTGGCTTCCCATCCTTTGAGCACTGGCAGGAGCACCAGCAACTCCATTTCCTCTCTGTGCAAAACCAATTCATCCACCCTCAGTTCTTGGACCGGCCCAATGGACATGCCCTTCATGTTGTTTGATCCTAGCAATCCCCTGTTGGCCAGTCAACTCCTCTCTGGGGCCATGCCACAGATCCCAAGCAGCTCTGCCACCTCTCCATCAACACCCACCTCCACCATGAACTCCCTGAAGAGGAAGTTGGAGGAGAAAGCAGGCACTAGCCCAGGAGAGAATGACAGCACCAACAGTGGGGAGGAGCCACAAAGAGACAAGCGCCTCAGGACCACCATCACACCTGAGCAGCTGGAGATCCTCTATCAGAAATACCTGTTGGACTCAAACCCCACTCGTAAAATGCTTGACCACATCGCTCATGAGGTCGGGACTGAAGAAGAGGGTAGTGCAAGTTTGGTTCCAAAATACCAGAGCCAGGGAAAGGAAGGGGCAGTTTCGGGCTGTAGGGCCTACTCAAGCTCACCGTCGGTGCCCTTTTTGTCGTGCTCTCTTCAAGGCGAAAACTGCACTAGAGGCACATATCCGTTCCCGCCATTGGCATGAAGCCAAACGTGCCGGTTACAACCTAGCTCTCTCTGGCATGTTCACTGAGGAAGGGATGCAAATGAAGATGGATCCTCTGGATATCTCCAGCTATTCCCAGCTTGCCCCTTCTAACAATGATGGACAATGCTCCTCTCTGTCACCAGTGAGCAAAAACATGGACTTGTCTCCCAGGGCCCTTTTGAGCCCTTCATCCATTAAAGTTGAAGGAGGAATGGAGGACTTTGAGAGTCCATCTATGTCCTCTGTAAACCTTAGCTTTGACCAGAACAAACTTGATAATGACGACTGTTCTTCAGTGAACACGGCCATCACAGATACCACCACTGGTGATGAGGCCAATGCTGACAATGACAGTGCTGATCAAAAGCATGGTCAAAATAGTGGTGATTACCTGTCTAAGTCTGTGGGTACAGCACCCTCCCTTGAAAATGACGACCAGATGTCCTCAGGGCTGGTGAGCCCTGCGACAAGCTATTATGCTAGAGACTATGAAAATGAGAATATAATTGACTACAGTGAGACCTCCAGTCTGGCTGATCCCTGCTCACCTAGCCCCGGAGCTTCCGGCAGCAGGAGCATCGACAGTGGAGACCGTCCTGGCCAAAAGCGCTTCCGAACTCAGATGACTAACCTCCAGCTGAAGCTACTCAAGTCCTGCTTCAATGACTACAGGACACCTACCATGCTGGAGTGTGAGGTACTTGGCAATGACATCGGACTTCCAAAGAGGGTGGTTCAGGTGTGGTTCCAGAATGCTCGCGCCAAGGAGAAAAAGGCCAAGCTCAGCATGGCTAAGCACTTCGGGATCAACCACACATCCTACGAGGGGCCGAAGACGGAGTGCTCTTTGTGCGGTGTCAAGTACAGTGCCCGTCTCTCTGTGCGAGATCACATCTTCTCTGCACAACACATCACCAAGGTTAAGGACACCATTGGGAGCCAACTGGACAAGGAGAAGGAGTACTTTGACCCAGCCACTGTCCGCCAGCTGATGGCCCAGCAGGAGATGGATCGCATCAAGAAAGCCAATGAGGTCCTGGGACTGGCACAGCAGCAAGCCATGCAGCAGCAGGGGATCTTCGATAGCCCCGCCCTGCAGGCCCTGAACCTTCAGTCAGCCTATTCAAATCTGCAAGGGATACCCCCTGGACTTCTGCCAGGTGTTGGAAGCACCTCCCTACCTGGCTTTAACGCATCAAACTCAGGTATGTCACCGCCCAGACGTCACATAGATCACTGTTTCATCAGAGTTGTCTTAAACCGGTGAAGCACTCTTTTTGGATCAAATGTAATATTTTGTAATATCCAAAAATGAAAAGAAGTGCTGTACCAGTCTGGAGAGGGAAATGTAGGGTATCATTCAACTGGGAAACCTAGTAACCAGCTTTGATTAAATAGGCTATGAATTTCTCCTACATTTTCCAGTAGGCAACGTTTCGACCTTCTTCAGATGAAATACCCTTGTCATCAATCAATCTGTCATCTGGAAATATTCACATTGGAATACATACATGTAATACAATATAACAGTGTTAGGGCACCTTCCACTTTAATCTGGATTTGCCAGGCACCTGTAAGCAGGTTCTTTATACATCACATTGTATTTCATAATGAGTCATGCATTCTAGTAAAAGTCATTCATTCCGTTCATTTGACAGTGTTGGCCTGCGTTATTGGAGAGACTCTACTACAACAAACAAATACAATATAAAATCAGAATGAGCATCTCCAGACATCTGCTGTCAACTTCATGAGCTACTTTAACTGCTACCACTCAGTTAGAGAACATTAAACAAAGTCATAAAATGAATACTAATAGCTCACTTCCTTCTCAAACCTCTTTGACCTTGGGAACATTAGTAGTACTTGACCTTATTATCATTTAAAGTACATGTTTTGATTTTCTGAGTTTGTTTAAAGGTCAGTGTCATACTTCATGTAAAGAAACCGTTTGCACATGTTTGAAGTAGTAGACACTAGAGTCCTTTTATCTTAAGATGTAACTAAATCCTCTGTTTATTGTCTGGTGTTTTCTTTATTATTGCACAGCTGCTTCTTGATTGATTAACTCTAGTAAATATTGTGATTGAGACCTCTTCTCATGGACCTTCCTGGAAAGGCTGAGTTTCTGATTGGCTAACATTGAATCAGCAAGAGCAATCTAATTAATTTCCTCTGGTGAAAACCATTTATCTTCAAAAAAGTGCTCAGTTATTAAAGCACTGAGCTCCAATAATTAGTGCATACAGTAGCTCTCTAGAACACCTTACTTAGAAAACACATACATGCATCTATGAATAACTAATGTCTTGAATCCCCCTCTAACTCTGAATTTTCCCATTTCTCTGATTCATCTCCTCCAGCTTTAACTCCTCCCAAACCTCCAAACCTCCTGAACATGCCTGGTGCCAGTGTTCCTTCACCCAGCCTCCCTACATCTGGATTACCCAACAAGCCTCCCTCCTCCTCCTCCTTGGCATCACCCAGCCCAGCACAGGCCAACACGTCTGTCGCCCACTCCAGCCCTACTTCCACCTCCACCTCCACCACCACAACAACCCAGTCAGGCTCCCGGCCTGAACACCCCAAAGAGCGTAATGCTGAGAGGTCAAGAGAGAAGGAGAAGCCCCACCACAAGGAGAAGACAGAGAAGCCCCCAACGCCATCCTCCACAGGAGGCACCCCAGCCCCATCCACCTCTGCTGCCAGTGCCAAGAAAGAAAAACCAGACGCAGCTGTGCCTGCCACCTCCATGCCCACGCCGGGTATGGAGTATGTGGTGGACCCTGCCCAGCTCCAGGCCCTGCAGGCTGCCTTGGCATCGGACCCTACAGCTCTACTGACTAGTCAGTTCCTGCCCTACTTCATGCCTGGATTTTCCCCGTATTACGCGCCGCAGATACCTGGGGCTCTCCAAGGCGGCTACCTGCAGCCAATGTACGGCATGGAAAGCATGTTCCCCTACAACCCAACATTGTCCCAAGCTCTGATGGGCCTGTCCCCAGGGTCCCTGCTTCAGCACTACCAGCAATATCAACAGAGCCTGCAGGAGGCACTACAGCAGCAGCAGCAGCAGCTTCAGCAGATCCAGCAACCCAAAGCGAGCCAAACTCCAGTTCCCCCTCAACCCTCGGGGGACCGCAAAGAATCTGCCAAAGATCCAGCGAAAACAGAGGAGCAGAAAGGCAACCCCCACAGAGAGACGTCCTCCTCCTCCTTCTCTCACAATAACCTACCCTCCAAGCAGAATGAGATGGATGGCAAAGTCACGGACCCCCTTCTAGACCAGTACATCGTCCCCAAGGTGCAGTACAGGCTGGCTTGTCGCAAATGTCAAGCAGTCTTCAGCAAGGAAGAAGCGGCCGTCAAACACCTGAAGTCTATTTGCTTTTTCGGTCAGTCTGTGGCAAACCTGCAAGAGGTGTTGCTGCGTGTCCCCAGTGGCGCGGGTGCAGGGGTGGGCAGCCTCTATGACTGCCTGGCCTGCGACACAACGTTGGATGGGGACAAAGCGCTTAGTCAACACCTGGATTCGGCTTTGCACAAACACAGAACAATCAAGCGATCAGCCAGAAATGCCAAAGAGCACGCTACTAGTTTATTACCTCACTCTTCAGCCTGCTTCCCCGATCCTAACACCGCATCTACCTCGCAGTCTGCCACTCATCTCATCAGCACCCCCCCTCCCCCGCCAACAACATCAGCCACCATGCCGTCCTCCTCTGTCTCTGCATCCTTGTGCTCCTCCTCTGCCACCCCACTCAACACCACAGCTGCCGGCAAACCCTGGCCCCAGGCCCCTTTCTCCAGAGCTTTAGCTGGGAAGCCCAATGCCACTCCTACTTCTACTTCTTCTTCTTTTCCTCCAGTATCCTCACCTTCAACGGTTACCTCAAGTTCATTGAGCACCTCAGGAGTTCAGACCTCTATACCAACAGACGTCTTTACCGACGAGTCCGACTCTGACAGCAGTCAGAGGTCAGCAGACAGGCTGGGCAGGACGGCGGAGGTGCCGCAACAGCCCGGCTGTCTCAAAGACAGTAGTAGTTGTAGTAGTAATCTTGCTAGTGTAGGAACGGACTCCATCAGATTGTAAAAGAGCTTTCGGTGATGGACAATATTTAAAAAAACGCAAAAGACAAAAAAAAAACACAAATGGGAAAAAACTAACAAAAAAGCAGCGATGTTAAAATACGTTTAAAAGTATACAAAACAATTTCAGAAAAAGATGTGTAAAGACTAACTGCAATTCCAAAGCTTGTAACCAAAAATTTAAATGTTAGTGGATTGTTTTCCCATATCAACATGCTGGTTTTCGTTTCTTTCAACTGAAATATATACATATATATGTATAAGAATAGAAAAGATCACTGCAGTTAAGTTTTGGGTAATGATAGAGGAATGCTGTATAGCAATGGACTGCCTCAAAGTTGTTAAATGGCCCAAGAACCCTTTTGACAAAGTCAACAAGCTGTCCCTTGTTTGTGTAATTATTTCCACTTAATAGCACAGTCAGAAAAAGCCAGTATGTACTGTATGGGAGAATAGTCTAACAGTTTTCTGCTATCAAAGCGTTCAAATACCAATGGCTTGCAAAAGTAAAAAGAATAATGTAATGTCTATTTTATTCTCAGGTCAACAGCTCACAGACGTTTTTCTGTTACAGAAATTCATTGTTTTACACCTTTTGTTCCGAACAGGAGAAACATTTGTGTTTTTTTCCAGAAATTGATTTTAACGACAGAAAGTTTTAAAATGAGTGAAAATATCATAAAGGCATAGCTTTCTGGGCATTTAAAAGGGTAGCTGATCTGCTGATTTTAAACATTTGAAATACTCTTAAAGGGGGAAAATTAGCAATCCCATTTTACCCAGACACGGAGAGCATTGCAGACATGTTGATGGGGGATAAAAAAGATTTTTTGATAAAAAAACTTTCTGTATTTATGATAGATATGAACATTTTTGGTGTTAAGTAGATTGTTGCATTGGAAATGAATTTAAACAGTATGGTAGATTGAAAAAAAACTTTGTGTACATTTAGCTTTTGTATCGTCCAACTTTAAGGCGCTTCATTTGATGTTGTCTTGGTCATTCCGATAGACTAGATTATGGAGCAGTAATTTATCTAAACTTTATTTCTGTCTTATTCTCGGCTTCTTGACTAACGTTCACCCAACTGCCACTCTCCCACTAGGCAGGATCCTCTCTTTCAAAATGTTTTTTTTCTCTCTGTTTTGGTTGGTATGGTACTAACCAAAAAAGAAAAAAGACCTGGGTGAAATGTTGAACAATATTTACTTTTATTTCTGTTACCTTTGTGCACTTACCACTGTCTGACTCATATTTCTCACTTTACTTGTTACTCTCTCTTCTCACTTAGTTTTTCTCCTCCCCTGCATTTGTAGATATGGAGATAGTTACTCCTCCTCGTGCGCTACAAAGCAGGCCTTTTGTTCTTCATGTAGTGTGGCTACAGTGTTCTTTCGGCTTTATTTTCATTTAGACTTTAAGTTGTTGTTGTCATAGATGAAAATGAAAAAATAACAATAATAATAATAATTCTCACGCTTTAAAACAAAAAGAAAATCCAAAGACTAAACACTTTCACCATTGGTGCATAAAGATAAGAACAGAGGCTTCTTTATACTTGAGAATTTGTTGCTGTTTTTAGAGGAAAGAAAACGAAGTTTTAAAATAAAGGAGTACGCATCAGAGTTGCCGTTTTTGCTTCTTTGCAAGCAGACTGGTGGCTTTTTTACGTAAAATACCAAGAATACCAAAAACCAAAAAAGGGCCCTTGTCCTTGCATTGTGGAGTAGCACCGTTACAGAGCCATTGCAGTTTGTAAGATAGAGGTTATCAATCTTTGTTTTAACTTTTCTGTCACTCACAAAACGTTTTTTTTTAAAAGAAAATGTATAAGGTCTGGTCTTCAAGGACATACGTTTGCTGCTAATGTAGAATTAAAAAAAAGAATACCTAGCTAGATGCATGCTCATTTTGATTTTTGGCTAAGCTTTAACTAAAACAACAATAAACAATTTTCCTGCCTCTGCGACATCTTTTATTTTTCTTCTTGCAAAAACGGAACTTTGAAGACTGTGAATATATGTTCCAAAGGACATTTTTGCCGATTTTCTTTTTGAACAGACCAATGTTTAAAGCCAATGATATAAAACGTTAGTAAAGAACAGTGCATTCCAAATATCACATCAGTTTTTTTATTTCTTAAACAAGGACTGATTTCATTTTAATGATTTTAATTATAATAATATATTTTCTCATTTCTAAGGTGACTGTAAGCTGTTGTGTAAAGTTAGCATCCTGTTTGCTAAACAAATTACCTAGATCTGTCATTTTGTGTCTAGCATGGAAAGTTGATAAGAACCCCTCCTTCCAGTTAAGGTTGTTGCTCACTTGATCAGCAAGTAATAGTGGTTACCAAAAAATGTATATAATACATCTGGTACTGACGCGTCTCATAGGTTACAGTGTCATCATGCCTCTCAACTTACAAGTCTCAGAAGGAAATAATGGCTGTATTGATAAGTCTGGAGTGGCGGCCCAACTTCCTGGGACGGGACATCCAGTTGGGACTTGCCCCAGGTGTCTGCAGGGCGTTAAGCCATTTTCACGCACGATGTTGATTACAGGTTTCTAAGGGACGTCTTCATTCCAAAGCATTATAAGTCTGGAAAAAGCAGGAGTTTTTTTGAAGATGTCCCTTGTGTTCAGATACTGTAGTTAAGAGGTATGTCATGCCTTCATGTCCAAAGAGGTCACTCGCTCAATCTTATGGCAGTAGAAATGGATGTGCTTAATTATCCCCACTCTCTCATAGATTAAAAACTTTTATTTAATTCCTTTACACCAAAACCAAGGCATATTTAAATTTGTGAATAACTGGTTTTCGGCCACTAGTGTATAGCAAGTGTATTTGCCCTAATTGATACAAAGCTGCAATCTGGGAAGTGTGTTAAAAGTGTTACGTCTTGCAGAGCAATGTGATTTGGTGTTAATACTTCCTTACGCATGCTGTTGAAATTCGGTTGATTTGGTCTGCAAGCTTGCCACTCCTCTAGTCCTGTTCTCTAGAATATTGTTCATATGATTATTTTTTGAGAATTCTAATGTTGTACAGTTTATTCTTGAAAGCATTTGCTTTATTTTGGTTTTCAGATGTCAGACGTGTATTATTATTTTCTTATAACTATTTGTATGTTATTTTAGTTTCTGTATATTACTTTTCCTCATATAAATTAACACTAGCTTTCATTTCAATTGCTGAATTAAAAAAAATCTTTATTCTATGACCTGGCCACTTTATGGTGTAATAATGTTCTTATATTTGTTTGTCTTTTTTGACACTGTTTGATCTCTTGTTTCCAAAGTGTAATCTTTGTTTTGGGCTCTTTTGTGGAAGACAGTCATGGTCTTCTTCACAACAGATTCAGCCAGCATGGACTGTGTGTGTGAGTTTGTATGTGTGCGTGTGAGTGTGTTTCATAAGAGCCAGCATCAGTTTTGAGTTTTTATAAATTTTATTTTATACTGTACCTTTATTTACGCACCAAAATGTACTGAACCGAAAGCTGGATTATGAATAAAGTGGTGAAGTTTTAGAAAATTTGAATTTTAAAGGTAACAATAATCAAAATGAGGAGAACGACGATACCGAAGCACTGAGCAGTTTTTATTTTGATTGAATATATGAATGTGGCCAAAGCTTTATGCAGTTGAAAACACAAATAAAAATTACAATTTGTGCCCCAGATAAGTGTATATTTTATTGTGGCACAAAACAATAGATAACTGAGATCCTTTGACTCACATTGGGATACTTGATTTTCATGGACAATTACAAAGAAAGAAAAAGAAGGTTTTGCTGTAGAGGTCATCTTTTGCCCACTGTGAAAATGAACATGTATACAGATATAGATATATTTAAAACAAGACATCAACTTTTTTGTTTGAAATGATAAAGAAGGAATGAAAAGAAGAAATGAACTCTGGGAACTTTGGAGATCTTACTGAGAGGACAGGGGAGGCTGTGGGCACACCAAAACTGGGCATGGGAGCCAAAGGCAGGCTCAAGGCGGCTTTAATATCACAACCATATTTGCTTACATCTCTGAGATGGGAATGGACTCTGGAACTAGTGGACATGTGTGACACAGAGAGGAAAGACCTTAGATAAAGAAGCTGAACTATAGTGGCTCCAGCTGCCTCCTTCTTGCTCTGTCTGTCTCTCTCTCTTTCTCCAGCTCTGCCTCTGCTTCTGCTCTTTTATGGACATGTTTCCGCACTTCTGGACGGGATGGACAGAGATGCTCGCTTCATTTCTCCCGGTTCATGTTGTTGCTACCCGTTTCATTTCCTCCTGCTTGTCTCGCTGATGGACAAGTATAAGCTCTCCAGTCAGATGGCGGCTCGCCCCTCTCTCTGTTCATCACACCAACCAAAAAGAGAAATGAACCAGAGAGAAAGGGGAGGGGTTTTCTAGGCTGTCATTCCTAAAGAGGCAGTTACACACAAAAAAAGCGAATCAACCAAAATTAACAACCAAACTAACAAACAACCAAACAAAACCATTTGCTCCAACTTCAAAGATGAACTGTTACTTGGAGCTCTCTCTGTTCCTTTTGTGACTCCTGGTGCCACAATGTTTTTTTAATGCATTTTCTTTTTCTTTTTGTTTCCTTGAATTATTCCTCCTCCGAGCCTCACAAGCATGGCTCCGTGGCTCCAGGCAGCCCACTGAGGGTAGAAAAAACAGCCTTGCAATGTACAAAAAAGAGCAAGTTAAACCAAAAATGTTGTTCTTGATGTCTTTTCTATACTGTAGTCTTGTTAGCTTTTTTGTTACTGTAATTATATGATGAAGATTTCCAAACTGTACCAAATTACATGGAAACTAACATACATAAACCACATGGAACTTCAGACTTTTAAAGAAACTTTTGTCACAAAAACCTTGTTGTCCTAGTTAAGTTGATTGTAGATGGTAATTGAATATACTCCTTTGAAAATATTTCATCAAGTATGTTTCTTGCTCATTGTGATACATTAAAAAAGTATGAGCATAAAATGCATTACTTGTGTGCCTCATCCTTGTGTGTTTTGTTTGAATTCAGTTGTATTGCATGAATGAAGAGTGCAAAATTCAAGTGTCTCATACAGAGAGAGAATGTTGAACACTGAATAGCAGTTTGTACATTTGGATCAAATCAGAATGCCTTTCCTGCCATGAATGATTTGTAGAAGTTGATACTACTATAGATGCACTCTCTGTACCAACCATGAACATTTGATCCTTTATGGTTTCTTCTGTATTTACAGTGTAAATAGTTCAAATACAGTAACCTTACACATCCATAGCTGAGCAGTATTCTCCATAATATCTATTATTATCAAACCTTATCCTTCACTGGGCTCATTAAGGGTAATAATGATCTTTAAACCATAATTGGCATCGTCATTGTTTTAATTAATGCATAAAAAGTGTGATTTTGTCAGACCCCTTTAGCCTCTTCTAAATCTTCCATGCCCTGAAATATATCATCCTTCATATTTAGATCCCTGGTAGGGATGCTCTCTGGACATGATTAATTAAAACATATTAAGTAACAAATGCAGGATCTCACTTAATTAGAAGTGGCTGTTTGTGACTAATTCAAGTTGATTAAGGCTGAGAAAAATTATAACTATAAGTGAAGTATGTTGTGAACAGCAGTACTTTTTTAATTCCTTTTGACTGATGTTGGAGCTCAAGTGCATTGTGCATTAGAACTGGGCACTAATTTGAAAATTAAGTCATTGAGAAGCTACTATTTCTAATTATTGGTGCTTGTGTGTGCCATTTGCAGCTCTCAGCCTTGAGAATATGCTACATGTGCGTGTTTGAATGGAGTATTTGCTAGCGTGAGTGTCATGTGTTTGGATGACTATTGGAATGAGGATGTGAGAATGAAAGGGAAATGAGCTTGTACCTGATCACACATGGCACAACGAGACCAGAGCCATGTATTGGGCCAATGCGGTTTCTGCATTATGATTCATTTACGTGACACTTCAACATTCTATGGCAGCTATGTTAGCTCCCCATTAACATAACATGGGGAATATTTAAACCATAGAATTAGAATTATTAATTTCATTGGTAATTTAGTATGATCTCTATGATTTAAAAAATTCTATGTAACTGAATGTCTAGAATTAGAACAATATTCAACATTCTAAAAGTTGCCCTAATGCTCTAAATATGTGACTCTGAAAGAGACCTTTCAGAGGGCTGCTGGGACATGATGTTCTATGTTTCCTAATGAGCAACCTGGAGGCCAAGAGACAACTCACTCTGGTCCAAGTAGACCTAGTAACTCCTGTAGCCAACCATAGACCAGGGACCTGCTACCACATATAGCTCACAAAAACCATACATTTCCTAGCATTTGCCTCTTATTTGCTCACTCTGGAATCAGCACTAAAACAATTTTAACCGGGATTGTTTACACCATGACATCAGACTTATGAATCTAACATTGATTTAGTGTTAGAGTAGGTATCATATTCACAGTGTTATCCTGTGTAGTTTTTGGCATGCAGTAGGCTCCAAGCTGTTCCCTTGCTTTATGCACAGGAGTCATAGAGGTTAGTGGTCGATTACGATTCACCCTACAATATTAACAGTAAAGGCTTTTTGCATTAGTAACACATTTCCAATGCATTCTTTGCATTTTTCTTTTCTCGTCTTTGCATGGTTTGCATGCACAAACGTGACACGGTTGCACCATATTGGTTTGATTGTAATGCTGGAGGACTTTTTTTGAAACGAGATGCTCTTTGTAAGAAACCAAACTGAAATAACAAGGGAGGAACTTGACAGTGGGGCCCCCTCCTAGCCAGCCCCAGTCAGAAACGGTGTGACACACAAGGGCATGTGCTCCCCTTTGGAAGTTTCCTTTAATAAAAGAGTGTGCTGTTATTATTGGCTTATGACCTTTAGTGAGTTCCAGTCTTAGTCAGAATATTTGATTGAATTGCTGTCTGTTTTATTATATATAGGGACGAAGAGGGAGGGCTCGAGTCCTTGAGAGCCTTACTGAATCCTTGAAAGTTTCTAAAGGATTTTCATTGAAATATGATTTGAATTTGAACTGAATATTATAAAAGAGAAGTGTGCTGTGAACGCATGTGTGTGTTCATACAACATGCATGCTGAATTAACTACGGTGCACAATGGGGTTCTAGGAAAGGGGGTAAAGGGTTCCTGAGAAGCCCCAGAGAGAGAGGGAAAGAATTGGAGGCAGGGGCCATCCTGTCTAGAGCAAGGAGCCAGATTCATCGGCCATGCTGAGCCAATTAACACGCAAGGGTACATCCCGAATGAATTAAAAGCACCCTAATCGGATCAGAGTGAAAAGCCAGGCCGCTTCCTCCCCAGCCCTGGACCAGATGGCACCCACACTCACATGTAGCATTGTAACAGCCCAGGCCCAAGTCGCAAGAGTGTGAAATTGGGTTAGCGCCTGAGTCTAACACTGGCCATGGGCAAGGGGAGCTCCCAATCTCATACTCCCCTGGCCTAGAGGTACAGGCCCCACCTTACAAAATGTAGGGGCCCAATATTTAATTATCATCCCAACTGCATCTCACATAGCCTGTCAGAAGGCCACAGTAAGTAGAGGGGGTCTGTATGTAGGCCTTGGTCTGAGTAACAGCTCCACAGGGTCCTGTCTCCTGCTCCTTTCTCTCTCTCTACCCATGTCTGCCCTGTACATATCCCAGAAATGGCCCCTGATGTATCAGAGCTCACTCCCTCTCAGGCCCTACAGGCAGATTAGAGCTCTGCTGGATAGAATATCTGTGGCTCTGTGTGACTGGATGGCTCTAGCTGGGTGGTAATGCCATGTAGAGGGCTGAGGCCTGGTCCCACTAATGTCTCTGTGGGGTTTTTTAAGCTCTTTAGGATCTGCTTTCAACATTTGCTGTGAATCAAGGGTACGAAGGTTGGACAACTGAAGCCAAAGTGACTACAAAAGGCATGGTTGTACATAGCATGAATATGTATGTCGCGGGCATTGTTTTAAATGAGAAACATTTAAACATTTAAACATTTAAATGGTTTTTGGCTTGAAGTTGGCACCGGCCCTGGAGACCATAAAGGCAGAAAATGAGGAGCAGAAGCTGGAAGGGAAACCACGCTACCAAACATCCCGGCATGCCTTTCAATCCTACGCTGGGCTGGTCAGGGCATCCTGCTGCCAACCAACCCTTCCGACTGTGGAGTCTCACCTCTGTCACATTAACACAAAGTCCTAAAGACTCCAGACCCACAATGAGAAGCCATGAAACCACCCTACAAACACACACACACACACACACACACACACACACACACACACACAGTATTTGAAGTAACACAGTGTAATAATTTGATGAGAATTGGAACAAAGAGTTCTGGATCCTTTGCCAGGACTGTCACTGCTATCAAACCTTTTGAGGTTTTGGGAACATGTTACATGTGGAATTGTAGGTAAACTGTTCTAAACTGTATCGAAGGAACAAATTATAGTATGTCACCAGCAAAGACTGTGGACATATTGTATGCATTTGTGGCTCTACCAGTGAAAGCCCTGGCTAAGCAGGGCTGCTTTACACATGAACAGGTTTCTCTGCTGTTGAGGGCTAACCTCTGACAGCCAGTCTGGTGCAATAACAGGGTCCACCATGAGGCTAAGGATTCTTCTCAATGCCAGGCCTAAAAGCCAAAGGACTACCACATCCTACATCCACATCCTAGCCCAGTGAATTCTCCCCCTTTTCTCCCCACCTCCCCTGCACCTCCTTCCATGCAGTGCCACAATGTCTTCCTCCCCTATCAATGTCAAAGCCAAATTATGCCGGAGCCGCGAGGACAGGTCAAACTAATTCAATCTCATCTGTCAGGAGAAATGATGGGTGAGGGGGATCCGAGGGAAGGCGAATGGGATAGAAATGTAAAACGCAAAGACGGGTTCCTTTTTTAAATTGAAGACGGCTGGGTGAGGCCTGGTTTTGAAGCAGGCCTCCCTCCCACCTCCAGGGAATCTGATGGGATAGACAGGAATGTCAGAGGAAGGAAGAGGCTCTGCACATCACTGATAACAGACCCATGTCATGTGACCTACAGACACACAGGGCTGTGGGACTGGCTCTGAGGGTCAGTGCTGGCAGTGCTGACCTCTTACTGGACACTGCTTATGGATACAAGAGTTATGCAGGATTTGTAAATGTATCAGACTAATACATGCCATTATTAAACACTGTTTTAGTGCAGTCAAAATTATGTTTATCCTGTGTTTTATATCATACTGTATGATGAAACTAACACTGTAAAATATTTATTTAAATTTTTGTCATTTAGCAGATGCTCTTATCCAGAGCAACTAACAGTTAGTGAGTGTATACATTTTCCATACTGGCCCCCCATGGGAATCGAACCCACAACCCTGGCGTTGCAAGCGCCATGCTCTACCAACTGAGCTACAGGAGGCCCAGTATGTATTATCAGTGTTATTTCCTATAGTTGCTGGTTGAAAATACAATCTACACAGGACCTTCTAATCAGCAGATTTGCATGGGTGGGAGTTTCAGCTTTCCATGGTAACATCACCATGCGGTAAATTGGTTAATAGACCAATAACAAAGAGAGTTCCAAACCTCTCTGTCATAAAAAAGCTAGTTTTCAGTTTTCCCCTCCCCACTCAGACCACTCTCAGACAGTCTTAGCAAAATTGTTGCTTGAGAAATTGTTTTTTGCGTAGACATTTATCCATATCAGTCTACTACCCCCCATCCTGTGCAGGACAAACTAGTGGCCCTTAGCCCCCCACCAGCCTGGGAGCCATGGGAAGGTGTGGAGTGTGCCTTGGCAGGCACTGGGTCTTGCTGGAGTATTTCCCATCTCCTGGACACAGGATCAAGTGTCGCCTTTTTCACAGCACCTTCTGGTTCTGCTTAACAGGAAATGAGGTCCATCAGAAGAACTCTGACCAAAACTGAGCCTGAATCAGGCCTGACAGGCAGAAATATTAGCCTGTGACG